CCTGATATATTAGAAAGCCCCATAAAACTTGATGGGCTGCAAAGTTATTTTATTTTTTATCCCTGCTGTTTTTTAAAGGCAGGTTTAGTTTCCACCATTGCCTCCTTGTTTTCCCTTTGTTTTACCTCTGCCCACTTAATCTATTTGTTGGTAAAGATGGTATGTGATCAGAAAGCAATGAAAAAGAAATAAAGCACAATAAAAATGCAAATATAAGAGAAATCAAGATAGAAATAAAATAAAAACGTGCATTTTTTTAAAAAGTTAAAATTAGAGAGCAAAAGAGAACTAGGAACAAAATATTAGCAGCATCAAGGTAAAAATAGTATTTCATTTATGGTTGAGATAGCAACGACAAAAACTTAGCCACTCTATTTGTAGTAGCACCTAATCTGTTTCTATTTTTGCGGCTAGCTGAACTTCAGGAGCCTACTGATAAAACTGAAGCGGAAAGTGACACATTGTCCAGTCAAACAGACACCACTCTCCAAGATGAGAGCATTTATGAATGCACTGTTCCCCCTACAAAGTAAGTTTATTTAATTTATTTAAATTTATAAGGCTGCCCAACTCTATGACAATTCTGAGTGGCACACGATAAAAACACCCACAAAAATTCTTGCATAAAACAGCTATTTGCATGATGGAAAAACAGAGTTCTTACTCCATGCCTAGATTGCTCTGTAGATTGAGAACTGTTAAATGTTAAAATAATAAAAGTGTATTAGCATTAAAGGTCTGTGCCTGTGGAAATCCAGCACGCCTGGAAGAAGAATGTGGGCTAATTTCTTTCATCTTCGGGTGGTTTTGTGCCTCCATTCAGCGTCTGGCCTGTATTTCAGTGTGATACAATCTGAGCAAGACAATCTTACACAATTCATCTGAATATTTGGACATGGCCACACCTTGAGTTCCTCAAACATTCTTACAGTGGGAAAACAAACAAACGGCCATTGCATCAAAAGTCACCTGTCTCCTTTCTTCACATCTTTTACTGGGTCAAAAAGCATCTTGGCTCATGAGCAGGGTGTCCATATTTGTGGTGGACTTCCCCAGTTTAGTACTGTACAATACAATAGCAAGGTGGTTCTTTGTGAGCATTTCCATGAGACTGAAGGGGTGGGAAGAACTTTAAAGTAGTTGTAAAGTCTACCTGGGTCTGGCTGCTACTAAAAGTTGCACGTATCTAGAGTTTGATTATTCTCTCATCATTCCTGGGTGTAATTCTGACTTTTCTTTTTGACTTCGATCATGAAGTGTCCTCCAAATGATGGCTGAAGTGGAGTGGTTCAGGAATGAAAAAGCAAAGGACATCTTGGATTTAGCAGGGGAAGCTGCTAAGGGCATGACAGAGAGACCCTGTGTCGATAAAACAGGAGTGAAGAGTGCCACAAGTAAGACAGTCTTTTCTGTTTACTGGGCATCAAGATGAACCCATTTTGATCAAAATGAAGCGAGGCTTCCCAAGCTATGTTAAATTCTGTTTTCAGATTTTAATATTTGCCGTGGTTTATTCCTAAACTCAATAACCCATTGAGTTAGAACATGGTTTATTCCTTAACTCAATAACTCATTGACAACTGCAGAGAAGGGAAGGGAGGAGGACAGGCAGTGTGTCATGCTGTCATAAAATTAATGCCGCAAAATGCAGTGGTGTCATGATGTAAATGATGTCATAACACCTTGTACCAGACACCTACACAGCCCTATCAGTCAAATGCTTTTACCTCTTTCTTGTGAATTGAACAAATTAAGGTTGCAGTCAGGCCCTGCTTTCAATGGTCTGTTGGCCTATTACATGCCCAGGTCTCTGGCTTCAACCTATACCCAAAGTCATTCTTTTGGAAGTACAAAATATATTGGGAAGAAAGGGATGGGGCTCCAAGAATTCCAGCAACTAAGTTATTTCTCATCTAAAACTAATATACAGGAAGTCCTCAAATTACACCATTCGTTCAGCAACCATTTGAAGTTCCAGTGGTGCTGAACGAAGGGACTTATGATCAGTCCTCGAAGTTTCAACCATTGCAGTGCCCCTGCGGTCACGTGAGCAAAATTCGGGTGCCTGGCAACCAGCTCACACACAACCAGTTTCAGCATTTGGCAGTCACATAATTGCCATTTGCGCCCTTGCACACATGCATGCACAGTCCCCACGCCCTCTTTCCTTGGCCTCCCTGCAATCGTATGCACCCTGCGCCCTCTTTCTGAGCTCACACTGCACAGAGTACCCCCTCTCCCAACTTGTGGGCAGCCTTTGCCGGGCCTCCCAGGGCCTCCCCCACCCCCCATGCTCCTTATGTGGGACTCTCTCCACTTTCCTCTTAACTACCGGCCATCTTAGGTTACGACAACAACCAGGACTGCCTGGATTGCTGTGGCTAAGCGATGCGGTCATGTGACATTGTGCTTTACGACCGCTTCACTTAGCGATGGCAATCCCAGTCCCAATTGCAGTCGTAACTTGAGAACTACCTGAACTGTGAACCGGCAAAGTGATGGGTCTGTTCACTGATAGCACGGGATCTTGCAGCTAGGCGCTTGTAAAACCATCTCTTATCAGTCTGAGAACTACATATTACACATGAGACATCACAGATTTCCTAAGAAGACTGAATTCCACGGGCAATCTCCCTGACAACACCATTTCAACCACCATGGATTTTGAGGCCCTAAACACAAGTATCTTCCACAAACATGGATTTCAAGCCATCAAGAACATCATCAATGTTGCCAAAAATCACCTGCCTTGTGTGACTTTGTACTCACTCATAGCTCCTTCACCTTTGGCAATATCATGTGCCTGCAACCAGAAGCACAGCCATTAAGCCTCTACTCCTCTATTGCACTGAAAAGACTCTGTGAAATAGTTGTAGGGAGATGAGTTGAAGTAAGAGTTCCTATTATGAAAAAACATCACATCCATAAACTGCAGAACTGTAGCAGTTCAAACACAAGGCTAGCTTTGCTGAGATTTCAAATACATCACAGCTGGGCCAGAAATAAATCTGTTTGGCTACTGAACAGAGATATCATAATGAGCTCAGATAAGAGGTGATTCTGGATTGGCGCAAAGGCCTCATGTAGACACACACTCAGAAAAAGTTGCTTGTAATCTGGCTCTTGTGCTGTTTCTCTGTTGGTGATGTGCACAGATATCCAGTTCTGTTCTTCTCCTAATGCCCATATTGAGATAGAACTCCAGTCCACAGAATTGCCAACAATAATCTCCAGATGTTCAGATGAGATGGGCTGGTGGGCATGAGGTTGGAGACCCAGAAAGCAGAAGAATGCAGCTCAGGAAAGTCCAGGGTCTGTAATGTATTGTTTTATGGCAGCTTATCTAAAAGCTTGAGAGTGATTAAAGGACTGGATGAAAAGAAGGGGCAAGGGAACTCAGACAGTGAGGGTTAGATGGGCTGGTGGGCATGAGGTTGGAGACCCAGAAAGCAGAAGAATGCAGCTCAGGAAAGTCCAGGGTCTGTAATGTATTGTTTTATGGCAGCTTATCTAAAAGCTTGAGAGTGATTAAGAGAAAAAAATAAAAGAAGGGGCAAGGGAACTCAGACAGTGAGGTTTAACCAGCTTGCGGTACCAATTTTTAGGATTTCCCTTCTCATTTATCCTGAAAAGAATGATTCTTCTTAAAGCCATTGAACCTGTTCAACTGCACTTCATACTTTTCTATTATTAGGTCCACCATACATGCAGGTGCCCCTTGAAGATGTCCAGGTTCGGTGTGGGGAAATGGCCAAGTTCCATGCCATCATTGAAGGCAATCCTCAGCCAGTCGTCGGATGGTTTAAGGTAGGTCAAAGACACTCCCAAACAGGAGCCAATAAAAGAGAAACCCCTCAAGTCCCCTTTATAAATCTGTGGGCAGAAAAAATATGCTCTCTGGGTATGGAGAAAAGAAGTAATCCTAGGAATTTAGATTGTTTCGACAGTGGAGCAATTATCAGTAATAAATCTTCCTCTGTTAAATTCCTCATTAAATTCTGAGTCTTTCTTTTATCAAGCACTACATCTTCTGGGAGTGAAGCCTGAAAATTGCCCTTTGAAATAAATTATTTTCTTAAAACAACAGAAACGTCTTTATTTTCCTTTAGAAAGTTTTCCGACTAGATTTTTAAAATCACACACACACGCACTTATTTATTTATTTATTTATTTATTTACTTGCTTACTTACTTACTTACTTACTTTAAAAGTAAAGAAACTTATATAGCCACCCATATTGTAACCACAACTCTGGATGACACACAAAAACAGTAAAAACAGCGCGCACACCCCCAAATAGTCAGAATATATATATATAGTTATAGTTATATAGTTAGTTATATAGTTATGTTTATGTTTAAATTTTAAATACTGTATTATCATTATACTCTTCCATTATACTGGAAACCCCTTTTATGGCTGTTGGGTGATATAAACTTAGAAGTTAAAATAGGGTTTAAAAACTTCACTGAAAGAAAAAAAACCTTTAAGAAATTCAGGATTGGCCTATTGTTATGTGTGGCTGGTGGCAGAATTCATCTAGAATCCAAGAAGGTCCTGGAATTCCAGAATAATCACAAAGAAGAATGGTTGCTAGGAATCTAGGCCTCTGTTGTGAACGAGGATGGTGTTGTGGGGTGTTAGAGGTAAACTGTGATACTTCTGAGCATCGCTTTCTGACCTGAAACATACTTTTCCTTTGCATATGGTTAGGATTAATTCACACCTCCATACTAATCCTGTGGCAACAATTGCAAGCTCATGTTTTCTATGGGTTCTTTTCTCCCGAGCTGAAATGTCTTCCATGTTGAATGGGGCTTGCAAAGGCTATGGTAGGTCTTCAAATCATAACTCCTGTCTTGGTGCAGACTTTCCCCAGAGATATATTCCTAGACAGAGAACTTAGATGGGCTTCACCAAAAGACTGCACTTGGATGGATTCCATGCAAAGGGCTGAACTAGCAACTGTCTAATTTTACTTGCCTACCCGTGGGACGTTAAGGCTGTGCCAAATCCTCTCTTCCTTCCAGGGTATTTCCTTGTTGCTAAGCAGTGAAAAAATCTACCAGTTCAATGAAGGCACAAGCTACTCTTTGATCCTGTACAACACTCAAGCAGAAGATGGTGGCGTCTACACTTGCATGGCTAAAAATATGGGAGGAGAAGTTGTATGCAAAGCAGAACTTGTGGTACAGGAAGGTAACGTTGACTTTGCGGCTTTCTTCTCATTCCTTCCTTCCTGCTTATTGATGGAATTCCTGTCTCAAAGGTTCTCTGGTTAGTGTAGCAGCAGGGCATCTGGGGGGGAGGGTCCAAAAGTCAAGATGGCTACCACGACTGCAGTTGAGGCCTTATCCCTTTTTTAATGCATGTGATGTCATAGCCACCATCTTGACTTTCCCTGTGGGTGTCCTTATTTCTGTGCTCTCCTGGCATCTCACAAAAATTTAACAACCTATCTGGGCAACTTTTTGCAAATAGTAGGGGCAAAGCTGTTTTATGAAGCACATAAAGAAGGAATCGGGTTTTGATTACACAATGACACCATCTTGGTTTTTTTACTGTCCCGCATAGATGTTCCTACATACTTAATTCCTCCTGTCCTTGGACCATGGTAACATTATGCTTCCTCGCTGAAGCTGCATTAACAGTTTGGGCTAGACCCATCAATATTCAAATGTTGGTTAGAGTGTTGGGGAATCTGTCATGACATCAGAGGTACAGGATGCAGACAAGAAACAGACAATTATTAGTTACTCCTTCATATATTTAAAAAAGAGAAAGTATATGCACTGCAAAAATGAGCCAGTTTGGTCTAGTGGTGAAGGCTCCAGGCTAGAAACCCAGAGACTGTGATTTCTAGTCCTGCCTTAGGCACGAAAGCCGGCTGGATGACTTTGGACCAGTCACTCTCAGCTCCCAACATCAGGCTCAGGTGACAAGCTGGTCATTTAATCCCTGCCACAACCAAGGGATCAACATTCAGTTGACCTGGAAAAAAAACCAGACCCTGCACCTGCATGAAAATGCTAGGAAGAAAAAAAAAAAATGCACTTCAAAATAAAATCCCAGATCCAGCTTGGTATTTTGGTTAAAAAATCAGAACTTCCTGCACCTGAGATCATAGAATCCTAGAATTGTAGATTTGGAAGGGATCACAAGGGTCATCTAGTCTAACCTCTGTGATGTGCAGGAAATCCAAATCAACCATTAGGAGAGGGGCTGTCCAGCCTCTTCTTAAAGACCTCTAGAGATGGAGAACAGTCAGTCTCCATAGGCAGGTCGTTTCACCGTTGTAAAGATCTTATTGTCAGGAAGTTTCCCATCTATTGAAATGAAATCTGGTTGGGCAGTTCTTTGAAAATTGCTGCAGATCGAGTAGATTATGTTGGGCTGGATGGATTAATAATAAATGTGTCAAGATCTCTCTTGCAATTTTGCAAGTCTTTTTCCTCTGCCCAAGAGCCTCCTGTTTTTCCAGTTTATTCTTAGGTTAGTTGAGAATTTCTTTTGAATTTCTCTTAGTGTGTTTCTGAGATTTCATTATCATTAGACTTCCTGGAGGAGGATAGGGTTGGTGTTGCTTTCTGGGACAACTTTTTCCATCCCTCTGAGACCTTGTTGGTTGCCCATACTGTTGAATCTAAAAATGTCCCTGGGATGAATTCCCTTCTGACATCCTGCCTTGGGATTGAATGGGAATTTGGGAGCCAGGGTGTCTGCTGAAAGCTGGAAACACAATTACAAATAATATTGATCTACAGCTTGCATTGCATCTTCTGCAATTTAAAGGGTTTCCATGCTTAGAACACAAAGTAAAAAAGGAGGTGTTATGTAAGGGAAAAATAAGTGGGCACACATAATAAGTGGAAAGCACATTATATGGTGTGTCAAAGGAAGCCCACATTTTATTTGTTCTATTATAGATATTATATATATAATAATATAATCTATAATAGATTATAGAACAGTCAGG